ATTGAAAGACCACAACAAGCATACTTTTCTTTGAGGGACTCTGACATATTCTGTAATAGAGTTTATCTAACTCATTGTTGGGTGGAAAATGGATCACTTAACACAAGAAACGTCTATTAGGAGTGATTCATCAGTTGGAACATCTAAGCTAATCCTTTTAGAATTGATGGTAAAATTAGTCATTGATTCTTCTTTCATTTTTCCTAAGAGAACTTATTCTAGGTCTGCTAAAAATGTTACTAAAAGTCATCTTGCTTCCCCATCTATTCATCAGTTAATTGGTTCATTAAAATAATTCCTTTCGAAATCATTATTAAATATAATAAAAGTACAATTTCACATTAGATTTTGAGCCTTTTTTATTCATTCTTCTTAAGTTTACAAGTAGTTATGGGATCTGTCATTGAATACTGCATATGCTACTTTAAAAAATAAAGGTACATAATAAGAAGCCTTACCTTTGAAGATTTTCAAAGACAGAAATGGTTCTCTACTTTAAGAAGAATATGTTATGTGTAATAGAGAGCACAGGAGTAGTGGAGATTTTAATGATATCAAAAGATAATATTGATTGTTCTAAATAGGGATGCTTGTTGAAAGAGCTGGCATTATAGATGTGCCGTGAAAGTGCTATAGCATGACCATAGGTGATGAAAGATATCCAAGAACACATTAAGAAGAATATGTTCTGTGTAACATACAGCACAGAGGTAGTAGGAATTTTAATGATAGAAACAAAATAATTTCTATTCTGGTGAATAGAGATGTTTGTTGAAAGAGGTGGCATTTGAGGTGTGTCATGAAAGAGCTTTTTATTGCCTGAGTATCTGGATGTAGAATTCTCGCCTACCTTTCAAGCAACACGTCAGCCTGCCTGCCACCATGCTTTCCACATGATGATAATGGACTCATCACAACATAAACATCTCGGTTTCAAAATCCAATAGTCTTTACAAATCTAAACTTTTTAAAAGATTTGTGTCTTGCCTGGTTTGGTGTTTGGTTTTAATCCTAGCACTTGGGAGCCAGAGACTGGTAGGTCTCTGAATTTGAGGCCACTCCTGCCTACGTAATGAACTCTGAAATGTAATCAAGCTCCAATTAAATCAGTTATAAATAAGTTTCTTTATAACAGTTGCTGTGGTTATGGTGTCCCCTCACAGCAGCAAAACTCTAACTAAAACAACTACAAATGCAAATATGTTCTAAGACAATAGAAAAAAAATTGAAGAGTCTAATGAGAATCATAGTTTAAGAAGAAAAAAGAAATAAGTTTTGCACCAACTATAGAGTGCCAAACATTACTGGCAAAGGAGTCTGGGTACATTTCAAAAAGGTACAGGAATAAATGAAATCTATTTTAATTTTAAATTTGTCACACATTTACAAGTTTCAAAATAACAATAGCTTTTCATTCTCTCTGATTCCTCCTTTTGTCCATTTTGTCCTCTTACATAAAGTAATTACTATTCTTGATCTTGGTGGCTTTAATTATATATGTGTGTGTGTGTGTGTGTGTGTACACAGACATATAGATATGAAATGGATGCACAGGAAACACTTAATGGAATCAGGGGAATTGTTTTAACATTTATGCATTCCTATGCACATATGTAACTGTAATAAATAAAAAGAGGTCGTGAATTTGAGAGGGATTAAGACTGGAGGAAGAGTTGAAGGGAGAGGACATGAGTGGGGTGGAGAGAGAAAAAGGAAGGGGAAAATGGTATTATGATGTTTTAATTAAAGGAAAGATATATTTTACTAAAACCAAGGGAAACAAGAAACAGTAAAAGAACATGTTCTTTATTTTTAGAGCATATTCTCTCACACACCTTGCGTTATTTTTTTCCTTTTCAGATTTTGCTTTGTTAATTTTATATGGATGAGTGTTTTGCCCGTATGTTTGTATTTTCACCGTCTGTGTACCTGGTGCCCATGACAATCAAAAGAGAAGATGATGAGATCCATCCTGAAATTTAACTTACTGATAGTTGTGATATACCATGAGGATACCATAGACTAAAACCATGGACTTTTGCAAGAGCAGCAAGGACTCTTAATTATTGAAAAAACTCTACTTAATGCACACAAAATATTAGTTCAGAAAATATTCCACAGGGTTATCCACAGCCCAATAATGTGAGAGTATTTTCTTTGTTGAAGTTCCTTCTTCCAAAATGATTTTTAACCTATATCGAGTTGACATAAAATATCCATCACTGTTGACCCCTTTACAACTTGACACTCAAGTCCATTACTGCTAAGCCATAATCTTTCTTCCTTATTCACCTAAAGATCTCATATTAACATCACAACATAAGCATTTAAGTTTAAAAATCCAATAATCATTATAAATCAAAACATTTTAAAACTTTTGTGTCTTGCTGTGGTTGGTGGTGCATGGTTTTAAGTCTATCACTTGGTAGGATCTCTGTGAATTTGAGGTCAGTCCAGTCTACATAATGATTTCTATACCAGAATGGGATACAAAGTGAGACTATCACAAAAGTCAAACCAAACCAAACAAGAATGTTCCTTCTTCATAAAACATGAAGAGTTCCTATAACATTTCAAAGCCTCTGAAATTCCATCATTATGCTAAAAAGAATCCAAGGTCTTCTAACTGTGGTTCCCTGGAGGTGGGGATGAAATTTATTCTTACTTCAAGAGGAAAGAACCAGAACACAGTCAAACTCAGATCAAAACAAAACCAATTCCAACAGTGTAGGAGGTTAATGATTGATATTTGGAACACACTCGAGAGCTACTGGACTCCAAGAGCCTTAGAGGTGATACGTTTATGGCTCTACTACCCACACCATGCCCAGCCTGTCTCCTAGGCTCAGCTTGGCTCCTTTCTATATTGTTGCAATCTTGTCATTAACACCATGGTACCAGTATCTCGAAAATGCTGCAGTTTTCACTGCAGCTGGTTGTACCTTGATCTGTAGCCTCTCCTGGGCTCACTTCGGGGACTTAACCCCCATCCTTTGCATGAAACCCCAGCTTATCTCCGTAACCACTGACTGCCTTCAAAGCCAGTACCATCTGTGAAATTGCTGCACGTAACCAAGTTGAGTTGCCAGCGTGAGGTAGAACCTAACCACCCCTGGAATACACAGCACCTGTGTGCTAACACTGAGAAAACCCTTTCCAGAAGATTTCACTTCATGCTGCTCCTGTCTTCTTAATCACAGCTGATTCTTCAGCCCCAGCTGAGCAGTTTCAATTGCTACAGCAAAGCACAGGTTTCTCTTTAGAGGTCCTGTTCTTATTGAAGGGTTCCCTGCATGTTTCACTTCATCCTATGGCTGATTCATTTTCATATTCCTCAAAAAATTATCTATGGAAATATGTCTTTAAATCATAATTTCCTGTTTGTGAGACAACAGCTCACTACTTGATAACCTTCTTTAACATGATATTTTTTATAACTAGTCATACTTCTTTCATATTTTTATATAAATAATTTGGACATCTATTTGGTTGGTCATAGCCTAAAACAACAACGCATTAACCCTCTTTTATGTGGTGGTATTCATGCTAGGATTTAGTTCTTTAGAATGATTGCTTAATCCAAGGCTATATTTAAAATAGTTAATACTTTGGTACAGAAAGCTTCCGTTTAAGGATGCATGTTTTTTTCACAGGAAAAGTCAGAACGTCGGCTTTCAAGTGAGCTTTGATCTTTTCCTCGAGATAATTTCAGTTTTACAAACATTTAATATCATGTCACCTCAGAATTATTTGGAAGTTAGGACTGTAGTTTTTGTGAATGCTAGGTCGTCACTTATTTACCTCATCATTTCCACACTGTTTCCCTCAAGTTCTACTTCTGGCATTTTTAATTATTTTCTTTGCTCAGAAGAGATAAATACAAAGCACAGTTTCTAAAAATTTCTAGATACTAAATTTGAAAATAGTAAAAGGAGTAATATGGGATCTTCTATGCAGGCGATTTCTTCATTTAAGAGATGCTTAGCGATAAACAGCCATGCTTTTGTTACTATAATTTGAATTAAAATCCTCTAAAATCCATTTATTGAAGGTACAGTATCCTCTGTTATTATATTTAAAGACACAGCCTTTAAGGTTGTAATTAATGAATACCTATGTGTGGGAACCAGATCTTATGGACTTAGTGTCCTTGTAAAAGACAAACAAACCAGCGAGTTTCTAAATGCAGAAAAAGCCACATGAGAATAGAACAAGAAAGTTGTTGCCCTAAGTCAAAGAGGGAAGCCTTGGGAACTAATCCAGACAAAATAATACCTCTTAAAAATATTTTACAAAGCTTTATTTTGAGAATTTCATGCTTGTGTGAAATTAGTAGAATCTGTTATTCCTCCCTGTTCTAACTCTGTCTCCCCTGTACCCTCAAACATTCCCCTTCCAAATTTAACTTTGAATATTCTGATAGCATATTAAATATAGCTAGTTCTGCCCACATGTGCTTAAGTGTGCATCCATTCCCTGAAACATAGGAAACCTTTTCATAGCTCCATATAATGCTCTGAATAAGAATGTCTCTCTTAGGCTCAGAGATGTAAGTGCTTGGCCATCAGGAAGTGATGCTCGGGCATCGGGGAGTGATGCAGTTAGGAAGTGTGACCTTGCTGGAGGAGGTCTGTCACTGCAGAAGGGTTTTGAGGTTTCAAAAGTCCAAGAGGAAAAACAAACAAACGAGCATGGCTCTCTCTTTCTTCTTGCTGCCTGCAGATCCAGATGTAGAACTCTCAGATCTGCCAGCACTATGTCTGCCTGCGTGCTACCATGCTTCCTGCCATACTGATAATGGACTAAAACTCTGAAACTGTAAGCAAGTCTCAACCAAATACTTCCCTTTATAAGAGTTGCTGTGGTCACAATGTCTTCTCTTCATAAGAGTAGAATATCTACTAAAACACTCCATCCTTAGAAAGGAAGATTCTCCACACACCCAGCACCATCCATTGCCAGTAAGTCTTTAGCAATACATGGGCATAGAGATTGCTTACCCTGTCTGTGCTTGGAGTTTCACTGGCTTCATCTTGTCAAAGCAGCCATAGCTGTTGTAAGCCCATGTGGGCCATAAACCAATTCGTGTCCAGAAGATAACATTTCATATCTTTCCTCTTTATTCTCCAGCTCTTCCATTCTTTCAACTTCTTGTCCTGTGAGGACTTAGTAATGATAGTTCCTAAAGGTAGGGTTAATTTACGGGGGACCTTTGGGGTTGAGTTCTCAGTCTTTTATTCTCAGCACTTTGACTGGTTAAGCAACTTTCTATTGAACACTGCCCATTGCAAATAGAAGCTTATTTAACCAAGGTTGAAATCACAAATATTACAAAATAAACACATATGTTTAAAAGACAATTGAACAGCATGAACATTTAGGAAATCAACAGTTTCAGAATATGAACTCATGCATAAGCTTTACATAAGGATTACAGCATTTTAATCTTATATTTATAATCCTGAATCTATTGAAAATAAATTCATGTACTAAAGCAACCAATTTTCCTAATTTGTTGTTATGGAAAACCTCATCTGACTGGAAAAATAACTTGTAATATGATAATATATACTTGTAATAGAATAGCTGAGGGAAGTATTTTTGTGTACATGCTTTCAGAGGGGTATACTAACTGTTATGTATTTTTCATATTAACAAAAGACTAGGCCAGGTGATGGTAATTGACTCCTTTAATCCAAACACTCAGTAGGCAGAGACAGGCAGATCTCTGTGAGTTCAAGGCTAGCCTGGTCTAAAAAGTGAGTTCTAGGATAACTAGAGCTGTTACATAGAGAAACTCTGTCTCAAGAAAAAAAAAAGCTAGCCAAATATGGGGACAATAAGAGCTGTCTAGAAAATACTACTCATGCATAAAATATAGTAGATTTTGAACTGATCTTTATATTTTTAGGACAATTATGTGTTCGATGGAGTAGTAGGAGAACTTGAGGGTTCTATAATATTTCCTGCTTCTCTCCAGGGCTCTTGAAGTCAGTCCTTTACACATCCTAAGTGACAGATTAATCTCTGTTTCACTGGAACTTAATATTTTTATTCTTTTTCTTACTCCTCTAATCAAATATAAGAGTGATAACACATAGAATTTGCATATTCCTATAGTGTAAGTTGTAATTCTTATAGTAAATTTACTTCAAGAAGAATACACACCTGTTGCTTTTGAAACAGATCAATTGCTTTTCCACATGTTCAGTGCTGAAGATGGATGTGTAAATCAGATAACAGGTTATCAACTTCTCCAGCGGTGGTGTTCACTACATGGAAACCCTTAGACTTTTGTGGGTTTTTTTCAACGTTTATTCAATTTTTATTTTTCAGATTGTTTTTAGACTTATTTATTATGTATACAATTTTCTGCCTCCATATACCCTTGCAGGCCAGAAGTGAACACCAGATCTCACTACAGATGGTTTGTGAGCCACCATGTGGTTGCTGGGAATTGAACTCGGGACCTCTGGAGGAGCAGCAAGTGCTCTTAACTGTTGAGCTGTCTCTCCAACACCGACTTTTATGTTATATGCATGTAAGAATGATTATTTGATAATCTTTCTGTCATAAAACATTTTCTGAACTTTCAGTTATCTGGTACGTATTGTGTTGGAAGTTACTCTGAAATTTCATATTTGAAAATTCTTTCTCTTCAAGAGCTGTTGATTGTACATAATAGAAAAAGAAAATTGCTTACGCATGAAACACATTCTCTAAAGAGGCTCCAAACAGCTCAGAGTAACATATCACAGGACTGAACAACCCTAACAGTCAAAATGACCTATGCAATGGAGCATACTCTCCCTACCATAATTGTGAGACATTCTCTCTTCTTTTGTCCTCAGTGAGCAGAAAGAACAAACAGTTACTCACCGTTTCAAGTCTCCTATTTCTTTGGCAAGTATATTCTATGTTTTCAAAAAAGCTGTACTTTTAATAATGAAAATAAATTATCCCATAATGACACCACTATATCTGGGCAAACTTCTTTTAGGGTGCTATAGAAAGTACCTCTTGTCTAATGGGGTATAAATAGTACTTGCCATCAAAATGATAGTGATAATATTTATTGAAAATTAAGAAAATAATTAATGATATATGCAAATTGAAACTTTTGACATTGCATGTGAAAATTATCGTCTAAGTTGAGAATCAAAATGAAAATGAATGATGATTGCATTGAGGTTAAAGATGTTGCATGCTGTCCTAAATACTTGGATATATGGGTAACTGTAAAGTTTTCATGGAAAAGCAATTCCAAAACTTCCCCTGGAGTTTTAAGTATTGAAATTCACATTCAGAAAACTCTCCTTATATATAAATTAAAATATTTTGAAGTTATTGAGAAAAAAATGTTTCCAGCTCTACATTCTGATCATCCTATAAATCTGTGATTTATGTTTTATTTTAATAACAAAATAAGCAATTAAAGAAACCACTTGACATCTACTAAAAGAGTGTTCCAGTGTGAGTTGTTTTAGATCCTATTATATATCATCTTATTTTTGATATTATTTATATATTAGCAGTGTTGTCAGCTGTTGGAGAATTGATCTTTCTTACTTGTCTTATCCTTTTCTTCTTCTCTTAATTATCACAATCTCATTCTCATCTACTTGCTACAACAGTTGTTAAATAATGACTACATACGACCCAGGTTTAGAACCATGAACTTTATTCTCTTAAAGAAACTGTCATGTGTATTTTCACATTGATCTTTCTAAAATATTTGTATTAGGGAAGAAATATGTGAAACTCACAATCATATTTTGTTGAACACAAAATCAATTTACATATACAATGGTATACGACCATTATACATTTACATATACGATGATATATGACCATTATAGTATAATGATGACATTATACTATTTCTTTTTTTAGTTATTGTGAAATTGCATGCTGGTCTGAAATTAAAAAAAAAATGGTTGTTGTTTTTACCAGACTTACTCTGTATCTTAATTGGCTTCCCTGGAAATCTTTGAATTGCAGAATTGCAGCATTTTAAAAATGCATTGCCATGAGAGAAAAACACACTTGCTTCTTTAACTAACTTCCCTGTGAACAAGGCTATATGTACAGTTCTTATAGATTTTAAATTTCTATAGTTTAAAAATGTAGGCATTTGATTGCAAATGCTTCCAAAGATGTCTGTTTTCTTTGATACCCTCTGAAACTGTGACTTTTCTGTCCTGCTCTGCAAAAAAAATACTAGAGATAAAAATTATTATACTTGACTCATAATATTATCACATTATGTTTTAAAATGGTCTCATCTATATGTATATATACATATGTACATATATATGTAAATATATACATACATTATTGTTTGTGTATTTGCAGTGTGGATATTAAATGCATATGTATGTAGAATTCTCTTTTGCTAGGTGGTGGTGGTGCACACCTATAATGCCAGCACTTGGGAGGTAGAGACAGGTGGATCTTTGTGACTTTAAGGCCACCTCATCTAAAAAGTGAGTTTCAGGACAGTCAGGATATTTCACAGAGAAACCCTGTCTCAGAAAACCAAAAAAGAAAAAAAAAATCTCATTTGCAGTGGTTGTTCAGGTAATATTTGTTATCAAAAGTGGATAAATACAATATATTGTGTGTGAATCCGGTTTATGTGTATATCTTCTGAACGGATGTCCCTCATTTCCTTGTAGGACATAGTCCCTGTTACAGCTGCTTGTTTCTAGAATTCTATCACTTGGCAGGTGAAATAACACAACTACATAAGTATCTGCTGGTGGAAGGCAGTTAATGTCCTATCTAATGTTTGTGAAAGAGATAAGAAAAATGCAAGCAACTGCCTCAGTGGTTTTGAATCTCTCACCAGAGATGGTGGTGACCCAGCTAGCAGAGCCCTATGGCCATAAACCTGTACCCTCTGAGACCTTTCAAAGTTAGAGAACATGTTTTGTTTGCCTACTTTTACACAGTAGGGCTCACCATCTATTCAAATGAACATCAATCTTTGAATAACATCCTTAGTTTTGTCAGTCATAACAGGCTATAAGTGAATTATACATCCTATGAAAAATTGTATTCATAATTTGGAAAGCAAGGTACCAGAGATGTTAGAACAAAGGATGTTTTTTTCAATCTTTTTTCTTACCTCCAGAAGATTGTCTTTTGTCCTTTAAAACTATAGGAGGTATTCTGAATAGTAATGTGAGAGAACCCTGTACAATCCCCCAGCACCATATTCTCTTTGTAATAAATACCTACTCTTTACTTTTAAGGAGATTTAGACAGTTCGGTTCATCCTGTAGCCTTGGGTTGTGCAGAAAGTTAGCACAGTATTTTAAGACCCATGCCTGCTCTTTGCCTGTTAGCTATTATTAATCCCTAATGCCTAGAATTGCATAAATTTTGCCTACAAAGGAAGCCCACAGGTCGTTTTTATTTGGAGCACTTTTCTTATATGCACCACAATATATTCTGTTATGTATTACCTCGTCTGAATGCAAAACTGTTTTATATGCAGATTTAAGGTAATGAGCACTCAAGTTTAAAAAATGGCTCTGGTATCCTGTAGCTTCTCAATAATAATATACTCTTACATTCCAACAGAGAAGGATGGATTATGGGTTTTTCAATTTGCATCAGGCATATTAATTGCAGAGTAGGGCTTCCACATAAAATATCAATGTACTGGAACAAACTGTTAATGTACCAGAATATGAACACTTACATTCATTTCTGGAGCTTTAAAAGGAATCACTTCCCCCCTCTCCATTTTTTCTTTTTTCTTTTCTTTTTTTTCCTTCTATACCTCTGGAGATGGTACTGTGTTTTAGTCAGTTAATGAAAACTATGTAACCACTGTTTCTCAAAAAAAATCCTAATTAGATTAAGTGCAATAGGGCTTTGTGACTCATTTCTTCTGGGGAACAATACAATAAGCTATTAGGGAAAGAAAAAAATAAAGGGTTCGGAAGAAACTTATTTTAGGGTTGTTTTTAAGAAACATGACATGGGAGACCGACTTTATGCTGCAGTTGGAGGCAGAGAAGAACACTCCACTTTATTTGCATTCTATTTCTCAGCTGTGAGGAGGATGCCTAAGCTAGTAACAGTGGAATGGGAAGTTTTATAAATAATTTTCAGCTGAGCTTGTGCAATGTAAGTTTAATTGTAGAAAAGAGTATAATACGGTTATTTGTTTCATGGAAGTATTTCAATTATATATTCTCTTGGAAGCATTAAACTGTG